CAGAAACACTTGAGATACACTGAGTTGTTCTGCAGCAAAGATTAAGCCCTAATTGTGTTTCTCTTCTATGTTTTCTGTAAGTAAGGCTTTTCTTGAAACAGAGAGTACCAACGAGCCATGTGTGATGTTGATCATTTCCGCCGCACTTCTTTCACCATTCATTGAGGAACTGCCATGTACAGCAACAGCTGAATCATGACAATCTTCTGTCAACAATCCCAAAATCCCCCATCCGTCAGTGAGGAGGGGATAAGCCATCCACCTGGCTCTGTGCAGGGTAGGATGTGGTGCTCCTTCGGCCAGGGCATAGCACAGGCCAGGGACCCCGCAGGGGCAGCCAAGCAGGGCCTCACCAGCCACGGCCAACCCACCGTCCCAGCCAGAAGCAACCAGGGGGGCACTGGGAGCAGCCCCAGCCCCGGACACCCCCCTGGGGCTGGGGTTAAGGTCGGGCTGGGACATGGGCCCACGGGTGGGCCCGGCCCAACAGGGCCCATGGCCAGGCAGCGCAGGGCTGTGGGGAGCTGGAGACCGGTCCTGCTGCAGCCTCGCTGGGGCAGGGGTGACGGTCCCGGGGGGCTGACATGGGGTCCTGCGCCATGGGCACAGCAGGGAGAGCCTTGGTGAGGTTGGGCATGGACATTAAAGCCTATCAGTGCACTCAGGGTCGAGACACCTTCCAAGAATAACTCGGACTCCACAGTCCTCCACAGTCCCAGAACACATGCTTACAGCTACATACCTGCTCAAAATATGCTGCAAAAGTATCACCTGCTTCTCCTAAAGCAGATATGGGGAGTACCCAAAATCCTTTGAAAAAGAAAGAAAATGCTCTGTTTACTCCTTTACTTAGTCTTCTTTCTTGACTTACACACTCATTCTTTTGGAAAAAGTTTGCTTTGAAACATTTTCTACATCCCTGAAAGCACTTGACAGGTTCCCAAAGAAAAATCCTTATGGAGGTCAACTTCAGAGAAATGCTGAAATGCTTCTGGATGGTGCCCAAAGAGCTCTAACCCTGGTACTTTCTCAGGAGTAGGGCTTTAACCCACACAAGTGGACACCCTATGACCTGACAACAACTACCAGTGGGAACCTGAGAAGGGACAGCAGTAAAACTAGTCCAGTAAGAATGATGAGACACAAGGATAACATTCACCTTCTCCCACCTACAGATGAAAGTATATTCCATCCAGCCTCTCTGGCATTGAACTGAATCCAGCTAGTTTTCTACTGGGCAGTGGCAATCACTAGCAGAGCTTTTTGTTATGTTCTACAAGCTCAGTTAGTCAGGCTTTCCCAAAAACAGTCATGGGACTGTTGCAGACATCAGGCTGACAGCTTACCGAGTAGATAAACTTCCCAATCTGCTTGTGTCCGAAAAGGAAATCCAACGGAGTCCCACATAAGAGACTTACTGAAGAAGAGAACTAATAACTGCTTCCTGTGAACACCCAAAGCTTGAAAGGACAAAGTCATGAAAGAGTATCTACCCAACAGTGCCAGATTTCAAACAAGATGACAGCTTTTCATGATAAGAGACATCAAGAACAGGTGAAAGTATGTGAAAAACCACAGCCTGGACACCAGATGAGTTCTCGCTGACAACCACCACCCGAATTATTTACTTCCTGTACCAGTTAGGTTTACTGCCTATCTCACAAATATCACAGCAAATATGAATGCTGAAATGGAGCACTCGGCGACACATTTTTCTTATCATCAGCTGTTAGACAACTGTGAGAGCAAGAAGAGGTGAAGACATTCATGAGAAGAAACAGATTCCTCAATAACAGTTTAAATACCTATTTCATTTGAGGTAGAGGCATTTATGTATTCATAATAAACCCAAAGCACCATCACTATTACTTGTTTTTGATGGCAAGAAATCTAATCTTTAAAACGCCCAGGTAAAACTCACCCAGCACATGCAGAAGCATCCAAAAAATAAGTCTGAATAAAGCAAAGACTGTTTTCAAAGGCTTCCCTTGCTTTTATGCATTCCAGCCCTCAATGTTTAGAAGACCGCTACAAAGCTGGAGTGTTTTGTCTAAGCAGATGAAAAGCTACTAGCAGTAAAAATTACTATCCTGTTTTCACATGAGATACCCTGTATCTACTACCACCTCAGAATAGTTTCCCCCAGTCTATACTTCACAGTTGCTACGATGCCTTGGTCTGGTGTGCCTCTTCCAATGTCAGTAGTCAGGGTGGATAAGAATTTATGGTTTATTTTTAAAAGCAACATTAAAGAAAACAAGATTAAAATCCAATTTTATAAACATGAAATACATGTGTGATTTTTTTTTTAATGTGCACTAATCTACGTTTGAGATTTTGATATCCTAAATTCTAGTAATTTTAGTTTCCAACGATCACTGAAAACAAAATTAAGACATGGAAGACTATTAAGTCAAATCACTGAGCTGAGGAAGATAACTCCCTCAGCGCGAGACCCTCAGTGTGGTCAAACTTTGAGGACAAACCTCAAAAATGAGGTTATAAAAAGGGAGAAATACTTATGCAGGTACAAAGAGTATTTTCTTTTCATCTCCTTTACCTAGCCAAGTTCAGTGACTAATTCCCTCAAAGCTGAAAAGTGGACTTGAAAATGGGAACTTTATTGTAATGTTGGAGACAGAAGAGACTTCTTAGTTCTAGAGTAATGAAGCTCACGGTGACAAAATTATCTATGTTCATTCCTCTCTTTATAAAGTCCATTTTTAAAGAGACAAGTTTGAGTTCACTTTCCATTGTAAAACACTATGTTTTAGATCATTTTGTCAAAACACAAATGAAAATGAAATGCTGCTACTGTGGACTTAATCACATGCTACTCAGCTCTTTTGGAAAAAAGCAAAGAACAGGATATCCTTTTCAAAGAAAGTGTAAAAATTTAGTAATACATGTAAGTATATAGAGAGCTTGTATATTCATTATGTAAATATATATACACACATTTAGCCTATAATAATACATATAGGTTAAATACTTGTTTTCAAAACCCCGTGAAAGACTCTTTTCTTCTAGGTAGCAAGATTAGAATACAGCATATACTAAAATTACAAAAGCAGCATATTCTATTGTTTACCAACTAACAGTTTTTCTACAGCACACTTCATAAACTAAAGCAGTAGATACAAAACAAGATTAGATTATTTAACATAGTGCTTTCTGCTTACTGATTCAAAACTCCATGTGTTTATGTTATTCCCACCCTATCTGTAACTACAGAATTCTTCTGCTGATAAGATTACTCAACAGAAAACAGGCAAGAGCAACCACATCTATCATGCAAGAAATTAGAGACAAGGAAGAAACCAGACAAAGCTATCTTGACTGGGTTGTGAATGAGACAAAAAAAAAAAAAATTTACAATCAGAAAAGGCACCTTTAGAACATAAGGTCTGGTAAAGATAATCCTGGTGACCAGTGTATAGTTCTCTTATAAACTCCCAAGCTGAACTCCAGCTTCGTGTCCAAAATGCTTTAAAAATCCACAACACTTCTTTCTAGCAAGAGTTAACCTTTCAACAAACAAGACGATTGCTTTGTCTGCATGCTGGGCAAGCATCACCTCTGTCAACAGCATTAGTTTTTAATCACAGATTGGTGTGCTACATGAGGAGGCACAATGATCATCTTCCAAGACTTGCTATTTGCTTGCTGTCCAATGTGGGGGAAAAAGCAATTTGCAGTCATGCTTTTTAAATTTCTGCAGCTAGTTCTTAGTCACCTTAAAGTCTTCAAACTCTGTCGGGTGTTCAAAACATGGCAAGAGAACACTTTTGTCAAAGAAATCCCTTGTCTCTTCATGATGGACGTGAAACACCTTTGGGTGAGAAAAACATTTGCTCTTCCCATGCTATGCAGTTACTCGCCTTCAGATGACGTTTACTCAGACAAGCCCAAGACTTATCATTGCTCAGGAAGAGGCCTTCTCCACTCCCTACCAGACAGGGTTGTGAGCACCTTTTAGCTACCCTTCAGCAAGCCTCAGTGCACACAGGTAAGGATTATCAAGACAGAGTGAGTACGAAATGTCTGCTTTCCCCTCTTTCTGTGCTTCCCTAGTGGGATTCTTATCTTATCTGCCCGGAACAGGGTATCTCTTAGTATATTTAGACAACAACCATGCAGAAAACCTACAAGAGAAGGGGATGGACTTCCTCCATAAACTCTTGGTGCAACAACTAAATGGATGACTCCTGCCATTACAGAAAATTTACTATAGCAAAAGACAATTATTTACCCAGGGAGCACGCAAGCACATAAAGCAGCTTGGGCTGAAGGTGGAAAGCTCAAGAGAAGTACAAAAGTGTTAGCAGTATTTTATGGGGGAAGACTACCCATCTGAAAGCTTTGAAAAGCAGCAGCAACTTGGTCTCAGACAGTGGGTCTTTCTCTCTTTACGTTCTTTGTTTCACCAACCCAAACACCCTTGTTACTTTTTAAATCTCGCTCTTCATTTTAGCACTTAACTGACAATTAACTTCTGCAGATGTGACACAGCAGAAATCAAACCTTCATAGTGCATTGTGCATTTGTGGATTAATCTCTTAAAAAAATGTTCATTTTATCTTCAAGAGCTTGTGAAGACAGCTGCTAATGCCATTCATTGTGGTAAAATCTGACTCCTTGTACTACTTAGTTATCCTCCTGCTAAATTATGTGCAGTTACAGAATAAAGCACTACATTTTATTTAATATCACACCTAGACATACTCTTCAATTTTAGAGCAGTATAATGGCTTCAGGGCTGTCACAGGACAAAACTGCTTTGGTTGAACTTGTATAGAACTCCAGGATAAGCTGAATTTAGCGTACTTACTCTAAAACAACATGAAGTTTGAACTTACCTGTGTTCAATACACACTGTAACCTCTCCTCTTTAATCTAACAGTATAGTAATTGTCAAGTAATAACCCACCACCTTCGAAAAGAGAAAGAAACAGGTTCCCTATTTTCTTTCCTCTCAGATAAAAGCTACCAGGCCTTACCTTTAGCTGCTGTTCTCCCCATGGTAACACTTCTGTGATCTTCCCTCTCACAATAAAAAGGCTGAAGTTGAAAGACCAGTTAATTCTTCCTTTCAACACAACAGTTTCCTGTGGAGTAGTAATACAACAAGTTAGGGGGGAGGTTGTTGTTGGGGTTTGGGTCATCTTTTTTTTTTTTTGGGGGGGGGGGGGGGAAGGAGGATTTTTTTGTGTGTGTTAGTGTATAATTATCTTGCTGGTTTAAAGTTGCAAACGTTTAACAAGCTATTTGTAGAAGAACAGCATGAAAACAATGGCTGTATCAAAGTAGCAAGGGTACAGAAGAACCCAACCTTTTATTCCATTGTTTTAGACAGTTCGTTGTATAATGATTTGCATTTTCTGTGGATTTCTAATACAGAGAAAGATATAAAAAATGCTTTATTCCTTTTTCCCCCAACAAATATTACTGAAAAATGGAAGAAACACTTTTATAACCCACTTGTCGTGCCTTACTTGCACAGAGTTTAGAAATCTGCAATTTAAACACCTTTGGGTAAAACACACTATCTTTCACAACTACAGTAGAAGGGGGAACAAAACACTGATGTAAGACATCTACACAAAGACACAAGTGCTCACTGATACCCCTGCCCACTACCGCTTGTAACAGAGCAGAGAGAACCTGTTAGAGGAACGCTAACTGCAGATAAAAGCAGCGAACCATATTCTTGTAGGGTTTAGAAACTAGAAGGGCCAAATTAGTTAAACCATTGTAACATAGCAAAAACAAACTTTATTTTGAGTGTGTGTTACTGTGATTTTCTACTCCAGTATCTAGTTTTCGGAACTTCGATTGTGTTCAATTCAAGTCAAACTCATTTGAAGCTCTTTAGCCTGGAAGCAACAAAGCCAGCAAGTTTATTTTCCTTTTCCATTTACTGTTCAAGTAATAATGGGTAAAAATATATGCAAATTTCTGAATTATCTTCTTTGAGCATTTCCTTTCAAGGAATTCCCATGAGGTTGAAGTTGACATCATCAAAAGTTCAAGTTTTTTTTTTAAATTTAAATATGTGCACACTGTTTCCAAGATTAATTTTGTCAAAGGTAACATTTTCAGAAGCTACACCTTTCCAGTGTTACATAAAAGGAGTAATAGTTGAAAAGCAAGGTATCTGCTTGGAGTTTCTTGAATCTTACACTCACATGCTAAAACAAAATAATTACACATACATATTGCATATAACAAGAGAGGTGTCATACAGCCAAGTATTTTCCAGAAACTGTGACATTTCAGTGAAATTTTGAGGAACTTGCACACTATGGTGATGGATTGCATGATGAAAACTTTACACAGTGCAAGTCCAATGGCTAAAACTAATTAAATATGGTTTTAAAAATGCCAATGACTTAAGAATTCAGTGTGTGTGTGTGTGTGTGTGTGCGCGCGCTGTGTGTGAACATGCTGGACAGTTATTACAAAAAACCTCTGAAGATTGAGACTTGAAAGCAGTTATAAATAAAGCCGAATACTAACATAAAATAAGCAGGTTTTGCTACACAATAGCATTCATAGCATAAGTGATCATCAGGATTAAGAACAGAAATCCTTTTAAGCCATCAAATGAATTTGAAATACTTGATACTTTCATAGACTCCCCCAAAAATTCAAAGCTTTTCCACTGCAAGTGATAAATCATGAAAGGTGATGCAGAGGCAAAGTAACTGTTTTTACAGATTACTTTAAAACAGTGCATGGTTTTTATCTTTTTGTTCCAAGTACCAGATTGCACTTGGTGCAGTAATAAAGATTCCAACCCCGCAGTGATAGTCATCAAGTTTAGCACAACTGGAGCATCTGTCAGAACATAAAAAGGATTCCAGCTTTTCATTACTTGTGTTGTACCAGATAGGCTATTTTACAGCATGCCCACCAGCCTGTTAAAAATATAAGACAACTGAAAGTTCTGAAAGTGCTGTTTGAAATGGGGCAAACACAATTGCAGGAATACAATATACTACTATTTCGAAGAGGTGCTACTTAAAACACAGTCACACCTACAGTATTCAATTTAAGAGCCGCTATTAAATTAGCTTGTAGATAGTGCTGTTTGTCACAGAAAACATTCAAGAACGGTATTTCTGAGCCTCTATCTACAACCGCTACATGCTGCTGAATGATAGCAAAATTAAAGCCAGTTACCCCCAAAACAGAGCAGGGTCAGTCTGAAACAACTTCAGTTTTTCTTTTGCAGGAGCAGACCTAGGAACAGCTTTCCATTGCCTCAGGTAATTCAGCGGCAAACCGTAAGCAAGGCAGTTATGTCCTTTGCTAACCAAGACGGTGTCCTCTTACGTTGCACTCACCATCACCAGCCTGGCTCAACCCACAGCACACCCGCCACAGAAGAGAAGAAAACCACCAGCAAATACAGGGGAGAAACCTCCAGGGATGTTTCGGCAAAATTATGTAGAAAGGACAAAGCTCATGGCATTCTTGTATGCGCACCTCGGCAAGCAAGCCAAGTCAGTGATACAGAAAGCTGGGGTTAAGAAATTAATCTAGCAGCTTCTAGAAATGAAGGGAAAAGATGAAACAAAACAAGGTCAGGAATATACGAGCAAACAAAGAAATGCAATGGCAAGGCTGAAGCGTAATGGTTTTAGGATGCATAAAGCACCAGAATGAAAACCAAAGTTACAAAAACCATGCTAAGCATAGTGATTGTCAGTCACAGACAGAAAATGCCCAAAACCCACCGATTTAGGGCACAGAAGTACAGAATCCATACCGTACACCAAGGAGAAACTGCTGTAAATTAAGGAAACTAAAAAAAGAGGAAAAAAAAAAAATCCATGAACCTAGCATAACATCGGATTCATCATCAAAACATCTTCAATTTAAAGAGCTGTGGAGGACCTCCACACTCACAAACTGTATTCTTTACATGACGTACACCTCAATTCATACTCATAAAACTCATAAAACAGTTTTATTCTTTTGCCGACTAGGTTCCCTTACATCAGCTACTTTTTAAAAAAATCAGATGGAAAGCGTTCATCTGCCTTTAATTCCTTACTGAAGTTTTTATTGTTAATCCCCAAATCACTTCTACTAGCCACCTCCCACTGTGCAAGCCCTTTGTCAGAAAGCAGTATATTAGTAGACAAGCCTAAGCCTTCGCCCTCTCTGCACTGCTACTACATAATACTACGCATCAGAAAACAGGATGGAAAACATTTTTTCCTGTTTTTTTGCTTTTCTCATTTTGAAAGAATTACTCAAAGGTCATGTATTGCTGTATTTCAAAGAAGCTAGTATTCTATTTTTCCTGCTATGCATCTCCATTATCCTTCTCACTGTAAGCCAGGCACTTAAGTAAGCTGAATGTCCCGAAAAAAATCCTGCATATTTAGGGCTTCCCAGTGCAAGTTTACCTTGACAGCATGCCCACTCATAAAAATACACAACACGGAATTGTGGAGATAAATATAACATTTAAAAGAAGTCTAAGCAACCAGTAAATTGTAGGCTTAGTACCCACCAAAAAGATGAAGGGTTTTGTGTCAATGACTCTGCATCTCAGGCTCAGAGGTAAGACAGAGACACCAATTTTAGAGCCAGTTAGCTTTTTGACCCTATCACTGGTATAAATGCAGTAACTCAGACGTCATCGCTGCCATCCTCAGGAGAAGAAGGGACAGTCGCCAATGGGCAGCCTCTGCCGGGTAAGGACTGAGCTATTCTTTTATACAAATACACAGTGCAGAAGAGGAATCTTACAAAACATCCACTTTGAAGCATCAATTAATTCTTCTTAATTTTAACTTGAAACACAGGCAGACATTTTTCAGGCTCAGTCTGAACAAGGAGTTATACTTGCCCCTCTCTTTCTTCATTCTTTCTTTTCTACAAATGCTTCCAGATCAAATTTCCACACACAAGGGGGGAAAAGAATTACACATAGTTTGAACAGCAAAACCAATTATAAACAGAGAATAGGCACAACGTAAGCAAAGAAATATTTCCCCCCAACTCTCTTGTATGTACAAGTCCTACATTTGCGTTCACCACCAGCATTCACGTGCCGCTAGCTTTACAAACATAAGAGCCACCAGTTAAAACTGCTGGCCAGTATCACCACGCTCCCATCGCTGTTACCGCTCCTCGCCTCCTTCCTCCCGTTTGTTATGGCCAACACTGCAGAGAGCCCTTCAAGAAAAGGACCTGCACAGCCTCCTCCATGGACCGACACACAGTGCGGCAGCCATGGTTCCCACTCCAGCTTCCACGTATGGGTAACGTGTACCTACAGGCACCAGTTGCTTCCCAAACAAGTGTGACTTTTTTTGAAAGTCAACTGCATTCCTTCAAAGTTATCCTTCATGAATCTGGAATACCTTTTTTTAAAACCTAATCATCTATTCATCCTTTATCTCTTAAATAAAAACCCTACTTCATCCCATTTTCACAAGTCTTCAAGGGGCTGAAAAGAGGCAAATAGACAGTAAGATTAAAAGGAGTATTTCTATAATGTGCAATACTTCCAAATTTCCAATACTTGAAAATCTACTTTCCAGCAAGTTACCCAGTGTGTAGGCTCATTTAGTATACTTCAAGACACAACAGCATATACTTCCTTATTTCTGTAATAAAGATAATCAGTTTACACCTTTTAGAGCATACTGTGGCATCATTATAGAAAAGGAAGATCTCAAAGGCTAAAAGCAAAAGTGTATCAGAAGATTATAAAATGTAACAAAAGCTTTGTAGTTGTAAAATTAGTCTTATTTCGCATTACACATATGTGACTTCAAAACAAAACCTAAAGATCAGGTCTTCTTTCATTTATGCACACAAATATATAATCAGTCAGTGTTCTGACAAGAAATTTGATCCAAGCTGGAATCTCTTTTAGTTCACATTCTTTGTTTAAAAAAAAAAAAAAAAAAGAAAGAAAAAAAGAAAAAGAGGGAGATTCTTTCAATGAAAGGAAATTAAACTTCCATGTTTTCATACGGCAGAACTTCTGATGAGCTGATGGATCTGAACACCTTCTCTTCTAGCTGATAAAAACAGAGCTAGGAGAGATAGGCTTTTGTCAAATTTACAGGCTTTCCAAAGAG